AGAAGAAGAAGAAGAAGAAGAAGAAGAAGAAGAAGAAGAAGAAGAAGAAGAAGAAGAAGAAGAAGAAGAAGAAGAAGAAGAAGAAGAAGAAGAACAACCGTGGACAGTTGTAGTTGGGGACCAGTGCAATATGTGTTCTTTGTACCGGATGTCTGACTGTGAAGCAAACCTTGAGTACATGTGACTCCCTGCTTAGAAAGCCTTGGGTAGCCAGGGAGCTGACGAAGAAGGAAGTCTTTATATGGCTGGGAGATACATTTCATAGCACAGGTTCTGAAGGAGTGGTTTGTAACTTCATTTAGAGTGTCCAGTGTGGTGTTCGCCTTGGAAAACGCAGCCGATTTCTGGCCCCATTCAGATGGTAGCTTTGACAGCAGACATACAGGTCACATAGGAAGGGCTGGGAAGCAATGGATTGTTTTTCTTTTTAAAACTAAATCTTTAGGTGCCATTAGGAAATTTTGGCTAGAATTTTAAGGATGTTTATCATTTTCCTAGAAAAGCAGTAGAAGAAGCAAGACACCCCGACTTACAAGGACTAACTATTTATGTCGCGCAGGATTGCACAGGTATGGAGTGTGTGGAATTCTAGCTGTGTGTTGTGTTGGCTCACACCCTTCGTGTGTGTATTGCTCATCTCTTCCTGGTTTATATTGTATGGTTTTTTGTTTGTTTGTTTTTGAGACAGGGTTTCTCTGTAGCTTTGGAGCCTGTCCTGGAGACCAGGCTGGCCTCGAACTCACAGAGATCCACCTGCCTCTGCCTCCCGAGTGCTGGGATTAAAGGCGTGCGCCACCACCACTCAGCCTGTTTATATTGTGAGTGGTTATGAAGATAGCAATCATGGCTAGTTCATTTTTTGTTCCTCTATGGCACCCTTCATGGAACAGGGATTTAGTTAGTTTTTCTGAGTAAGTGCCATGAGTTACTTATTGAAATATATTTGCCAAGGAAATTTGAGCATTTAAAATGATTCTTTTGTTATCTTTTTTCCCCACCGAGACAGGCTTTTACTGTGTGTAGCCTGAGCTGGTCTTGAATTTATAATGCTACTCCAGCCTACTCCGTCACCCCTACGGCCAGTGCCGCGGGTGCGTCAACACACCTGATCTAACAAACATTTCTTTTTAGTTAGCCAGGTTAAGCCAGCTATGATGACTCATGCTGATAATTTTGGCCCAGGGAGGCCAGGGCAGGAGGGTTATACATCTGAGAAGAGAAAATTCTGAGTTTCCTTTAGAAGTGTGTTAGAGTGTGCCAATAAGTCATCTCTCACGGGGGTCTTCCGTTGATGGCCTGTATCTGTAGTCGCCCTGAAACTCTGTTGGAAATAGAAATAGAGGCTTCAGCTTCCTGAAATAAAATAATCCACCCATGTGATAAATTAAGTTTTACCAGAAAAGCTATTAAGAGGGTAAAATTAATGTTTTAGAAAAGTAAGGAATATGTATGTCAGTTTTAACGTAAAGATACCTACAAACCTGGCAAGCTAGCAAGGGCCCATAGTGGAAAGAGTGTTTTGTATGTGGTGTTTTATACTTCTTAAAACATTTATTTATTCCATGTGTGAGCTGTGAGCATGTGGAAGTCAGAAAGACAACTTGCAGGAATTGCTTCTCACTTCCCATCATGTGGGATCTGGGGGTGGAGCTCTGGCTGCCAGGCTTAGGGGCAAAGCACCTTCCTTTTATTAATTTTAATTTTAATATTTATTTATTTATTTATTTGGTTTTTCGAGACAGGGTTTCTCTGTAGCTTTGGAGCCTGTCCTGGAACTAGTTAGACCAGGCTGGCCTTGAACTCACAGATATCCGCCTGCCTCTGTCTCCTGAGTGCTGGGATTAAAGGCCACCACCGTCCAGCTCAAAGTGCCTTCTTACTTAGCCATCCCACTGGCCTGTATTTGGCATCTAATCAAGTCAAACACTTTCTGACTTATGCTTTTCCTTTTTATTGTTAGTCTTCCTAATAGAGCGTATGGTCAGGGAGATCAATACTTGTGTTTTGTTACTGTTGAATTTCTAGGGGCCATGTACTTGGCATTTGGAGCTTGTTGGTCCTTTGGTAGTGATACCAGACACCAGATAACCAACCAGTGGAGGAGGGGGGGCCAGAGTAAGAGTGTTGGCAGCTGCTTTTATAATGTGTAATACATACATGTTCATTATGTTTCTCCCAGTTTACAATTCTGATGTGATTGATAAGCAGACCGACTCTGTGACCTCTGGGGACGCCAGGGACAAGGCTGTTATTATCTTAGTTCCTGTTAGACTTGGTGGAGAAAGAACCAACACTGACTATCTGGAGTTTGTGAAGGTAAGAAGTGCTTTTGTTTTCAAGACAGCAGTAGTACCTAACATAAAAACTCTCCTCCACGAGTAAGTCATGACGATCCTACACTTATACATTGTGAAGTTTGGCACCAGGGGTTGTCAATTTCAGCCTTGGGGCAGCACACGAATCTGAAGAACGGCATCTTTCTATGACAGAGTGAGCACCCCGTGAGTCTTGGTGCGGTGTGCAAGTGAGGTTTGTGGTGTGGCTGCTCCTCCAGTATCCTTTTCTTATTCAAAGATATTTGCTTAGTTATTCATGAAGCTAACATGTCAAATTAACTATTAACACAAACTTTAAAATGACTACTGTATTTCATCGTTTGTTTTCGTAGCACCATGATGCCCGTGAGGAATTGCTTAAGTAGACGGAAGTAACTTCCCTTTCTTATTAACCAGTTAAAAGGTCTGTTTGATTCCTCAGCACATAGTTATGTTTCTTGAACCAAAAGAAACTGTCTGGTTAGATGCATTGTCTTGTTTTAGGCACTAAGACATTTAGTTTTGAAGTAGCTGGTTAAGTCTGTAGCTTTAACAATACTTTCAGCTTTGGTAAAGCAACCTTCTTTCTTGCTGTGATGAAATACTTGGCAGAATGAACTTTGGGGAGGTGAAGTTTGTTTTGACTCACAGTACAGAGGCGTTCAGTCCTTAGCCTGCAGGGGACATGTAGCCCAGGATAGCTATGAATGCTAATCTTCACAAAACTGTGAGCTTACTTAAGACATTACATGATTTTTCTTTGTGTGTGTGTGTGTGTGTGTGTGTGTGTGTGTGTGTGTGGCCTTTTCTTTCTGCTTTGGTAACTATATTGCATGGTCTATAGTGTGCACTTTGGTGGTGATAATGCTGTGTTCCAGTGTAATGCAGAACAGGTATGTATATGTTCTTCTACTTGTATGCACATGTGTCTTCCAGTGTGTTGTCTTCCAAGTACAGAGAGTCCAATTATAGCGCCAGACCTTACATGTGCTCATGGTGGCTCGAAGAGTGAAACACAGCAGTCACCCATAATGCGTTAACCACCATCACAGATGGTGGGCGTTTAATGCTGTTCTGAAGATAGAATAGTAGTCTTACTTGATTATTAGGGTTGCATCCACACCTCGGCTGTGTTTCCTGTGTTGCCTACCGTGCTTTGCAATTGGCTTCCCATTGTACTACATTAGCAGCTGGGATCCAGAAGGACCCCACCCCGCTTTCCACTTTCCTATCCATTAATTCTCACAGTGAAAGTAAATGCCGTCTCTTATGCGTTACTGTGTTTTAATCCTAGCATGGGTCTTATGAAGGGTCTCAAAGGAAAGCAGAACTGGGCCTAGGAGACGACTTAACTGGTAAAGTCCCGTGAGGATCTGCCCACAGCAGGTGGGCATGGTAGCATGTTCCGAATCCCGGTGCTGGGGATGTGGAGGCAGGAGGATAAGGTCTGTAGGGCTTGCTGGCCAGCCGGGCCAGCCAGTGAGTAGAAGGTCTAGCTAGAGACCCTGTCTCAAGAAATAGGGTGGAGAGCGACTGAGGAAGATACTGTCATTTGCTGGCTTCCACGTGCATGCACACACACTCACACACTCATGCACTTCTGGAGTGAGGGAGGAGAAGAGAAGCCCCAGAGAAGAAAAATTATGGCTGGTGGAAGATGGGTTCAATGCAAAACGGCCAGATGGCTAGTTTTCTGTTGAGGTAAATAGAAAGGCGGTCTGCCTAGCTTGTAAGGAATCGGTGTACGTTTCCAAAGACTGTAATTTAAAAAGTCATTATATGTAATACATGCTGTCAGATCCGATGTGTATCGGCATTGTGTCGGAAGGACAAAATAGTGGAGCTGAACAAAAGACTGGTCTCAACAAAATTGTTTCTGAAAGTTACGATTTGGACAGATGCTATTGTAAAAGCTAGTTTTGTGGCAGCATATTTAATAGCAAAAAATCAAAACCATTTACTGGTGGCTAGTTTATTAGGTGAGGCATGTAGAGTGTGGCAGGTATAACATTTTATGCTTTGAGAAAAGGGGTATTTCTAAAGTCAGTTTGTCTCGCCTGACTATAACCACATAAAGTGGAAAAATTGGTAAAATCCTCTGAAAGAAGGTTGAAGAGAAGAGCCCCTAGTTTTAAGTTTCTTACATTGGTACTAGGCAACAGCTCAGCTGCAGGTACATCCTAGCTTGCTGCTTTTAGTGATGTTGGTGATGAATTAAAGTCACTGAAGACATGGCTTCTTTTTTTTTTAATTTTTTAAATTTATTTATTTATTAAAGATTCTGTCTCTTCCCCGCCGCCGCCTCTCATTTCCCTCCCCTCCCCCAATCAAGTCCCCCTCTCTTGTCAGCCCAAAGAGCAATCAGGGTTCCCTGCCCTGTGGGAAGTCCAAGGACCACCCACCTCCAGCCAGGTCTAGTAAGGTGAGCATCCAAACTGCCTAGGCTCCCACGAAACCAATAGGTACAGTAGGATCAAAAACCCATTGCCGACATGGCTTCTTTAGTGCCCTTAAAAGGCACAACTAAATCAAGAGGTTTCTATAAAGCAGTAAAAAACAAAGCCGTTTCTTTGTCACTGTATTTATGGCCTTTATCAGAGGTACTCATAATGGTAGGTAGAAGAGAGGGGTTTGTACAATTCACAGAGGATGACGTCGCCACTGCCCAGAATTTGTGCTGAATGAAGTATCACACAATGCATCAAGAAAATATGTGTGTACATTATTAAGATTGAATAACGTCATGAAAATCTTCATTAGGACTGAATTTCACTAAGGATCAAGAAGTTTAATCCTCACCAGTTGCACGAATCCCTTTAAAAATGATGATGTTAACTGTGGCTACATCAGTAACCTTTTTGGAAGTAAGAGGCTAAGTCAAGGTCAGACGTGGGGAAGATTTTATGATTTACAACATGTATCAACTCCTTTCTGATATCAAAACCAAAATTTGTATCGAAAGTTGACAGTGAAAACTGGCTTACAGATGTAGCATTATTCTTTTTTTAGTGGATTTAACCAATCCTTTAAATCATTAAAATGTGTCTTCAAGGTTGAAACCAGTTTATCAACACAGTGTTTCACATCATCTCATTTTAAGTGCAACTAAAATTGTTGTAGTTCACTGGGCAGGGTGGCACACACCTTTAATCCCAGCACTCAGGAGGCAGAGGCAGGTGGATCTCCATGAGTTCGAGGCCAGCCTGGTCTACAAAGCAAGTTCCAGGAAGCCCATGTTGGAAGAAGGGCACTTAGCCCCGAAATAATCACACAATAACTGTATTATTTAAATCACTGCTTGGCCCATTAGCTCTAGCTTCTTATTGACTAACTCTTACATCTTAATTTAACCCATTTCTATTAATCTGTATATTGCCACGTGGCTGTGGCTTACAGGCAAGATTGCAACTGGCGTCTGTCTCCAGCGTCTCCATGGCTTCTCTCTGACTCCACCTTCTGTCTCCCAGCATTCAGCTTAGTTTTTTCTGCCTACCTCTACTCCCTGCACAGGCCAAAGACAGTTTCTTTATTAACCAATGGTATTCACAGCATACAGAGGGGAATCCCACATTAAGCCCAAGCCACAGAGAAACCTTGCCTTGAAAAAATAAAAAACAACAACCATAATAAAAAAAATGTGGCCGTTCAAGTTCAGGCTCTTTAAACACCGTCAGACATTTCAGCACACCAGCTACACCACAACCCGGGAGAGACCCAACAGTATGTGACATAAGAACTTGAAAACACTTTCAAGAATTTTTGGGAAAATAATGTTCGTGTTTCCAATTTCGGTTGCCATAAATATGTTACCTGCCTATTTCCAGATGGGACAACTGGCGCTGCACCCTGGCATTCACCTTAAAGAGGTCGATGCCCCTCAATGAGTCCTGCAGAGGACTCTGTCTTCCGGAGACAAACATTGCCGGCTTCCCTTCGCACCTTATCCTTGCTGTCGCTTTTTGCATCGCTTGCACATTTGTGAGCAGCCGGAGTCAGGCTAGGACCGAAACCTCCAGCGAGCCACAGAGAAGCGCCATTACTTCCATCCACCAGCTACTGACACATTAGTTTCATAAACACAACGCCAAGGACCCTGCAAGTTTTATGTTGCCACCTTTTCTTTCTATATATAAATGTATTTTAGAAAATCCATGAAGTTGTATTGCTTTGGTATGTTCATTTTCTTGACCCACGACTGTACACTTAGCAGCTGCTCAGTGATTCTTAGAGACCATCCGAGTGGAGTGCTACACACTCGGGGTTGTAGCGTGAGGACCTGTGTGCACCTGCGGGCAGATGGCGTGAAAGTCACACGCAGACCTTCTTTTGCTCACCAGCTATTGTTAGTGTTTGTGTAGTGAATGCATGAGTGGTGACTGCTCTTCACCTGTGTGGTCCTGAGAAGTCAACAGGTTGGGTGCCCCTGGTTGGGAGGCTAAGGCAAGGAAGGCACAGTGTTGCGATTGGCTGCTGGCCCATTGTGGTAGGGGCATGAGGAGGCCTTTTTGCATCTTGGAGGATCAGGAAACAGACTGTTCAAAATGGAAATGAGGCCAGGATGTAACCCTCAGAGGCCTGTGGCTAGGTTCCCCACTTCTGGCAGCCACTCCCCCTCCCCAAAGCTTCCAGTGCTTTCCCTAACAAACTGGCTGAGAACCAAGCATTTAAACATTTGAGCCTGTGAGGACAGTTCACATTCAAACGATACTGGCTCCTTGAGCCAAAACCTTTTCTTGGTGGAAGAAGCTGCCAGGGCTTTCCAGGTGTGTTTCATCTGGCAGAGGGCTCTGCTGTTGGTAGTGCTGATGGCACGTGGCACTGCCCGATGCCCTGGAGTCTGAACGGGTGAAACACCAGTAGTTGAGCTCTTTTTTACTGTGATCTCCTCGGTACCCGGCACGTGGGAGTCCCGTGACCAGTATTTGCTAACTCATTTGTGTTGTCCTTCCCGATGTAATCCATCTCCTTTGCCCTCATGACAGGCAGGCACTTTGTCTTTGT